CTAGGGTGAAAGGGGCGTGAGATACTTGGCTGTCCCGTCCCCCCCCCTCCTCCCCACCAGTGCAACAAACGCAAAGACCGTGCGCCAGCAACGTGGTACCACAGCCGCCCGACCAGGTAACGGGCAGCTCTAAAGGCAGCCATGCGCCTGGCAACTTCGGCGTCGCCCATTAGCTACCGAACACGACAACACAAAACACCGAAAACAGTACCCCAATTTGGGGTCGGCGGCAGAGGCGGCAGCCTTTAGATTCGGGGGACAGACATGTTAAAATACCACCTGAACGCGCTTCTTGGCAGAAGCTCCCAAAGAACAGGTGCCCAGGAAAGTCTCGCTCCACCGTAGCAAGGTCCCCGACTGAGCCATGCGCTTCTTGGCAGCATAGAATTTCTTGAGAAGAGACGAGGCGACGAAACTTGGCATGCCGGCGCTCTTGGGCACGATGATCCCCGTGAACGGAACCGAAGAGGGCTTTGGTGTTCCAAGTGCAAGCGCGAAATCTTTGACGAGGGAGAAAAGCATGCAATTGTGTCTCAGCGTTGTCTGCATCCTCGTAGTCGCTGTCCTACGGGAAGCTCACCCTGCCGATCATCGCGTGGGCCTGCTCGGGGATCATGGAGAGCTGCGCGATGTCCTCGAGGGACGGCAGGATGCGGTATGTGACGCGTGACGCCAGCCTCCTTAGCTTTGAACACCTCCCAGGCCTCGATGCCACTCGAGTAATACAACGTGCCCTTGTACGCGTTGGTGCCCAGGCTGGAGATACCCTCGCGCCACAGGTGGTTGTCCATGAGGTGCTGCTTCGTCATACGCCACAATTGACCAGGAACATAGCCGCGCTTCCTGATCTCGAGGGGCTTGTGAACTCCTGCACGAATCTGATGAACAGAGTTGTCCCTCGGGTCGGTCCAGTCGCAATTAACGCTGCGGACGGACAACTCATCCTTAAACTGCTGCGCGGTCTGCTTATTCGGGAAGATGATCATGTACGAGAACGACATGGTAGACCGGCTTGACGGAGTGCTTGATGGAGTCGTGCATGAGCGGAAGAACCTTCTCCTCGTAGTGACGCTTTAACTGCGGGACGACTAGCTTGCGGGGGAAGCAACGAAGCCAGATCTTGAGCTCGTCATTCTCTTGACTGCCCGACGAGCTTGGGGGACGATGACTCCCCGATCCACTACCTCCACCTTGAAATCGTGACCAAGGATCAGGAACAGCCTGAGCCACGCCACCAGCGGGACCATCTTGAGTACTCATCGCCTGTTCGAGCTCGAGCTTCTCCAGCCTCTGGTGCATATTCTGCTGGGCAACCGAGAGAGAGCCGAGGTTCGTCTGGATGACGGCTGCTTTGGCATCTGCTTGCGTGCGAAGTAAAGATAGCTTTGAATACATGTCACCACGAAGAGTGTCTGTGTGCTCGCCCATGTGCAATTTCATGGAGTCGGTGAACTCGCCCATCAGTTCTCGAAACATCGGTTTGAACCTCTCGACGCCCTGCGGGGACGGTGTCCTCATGTCGTATCGCTGCTCAGACTTCGGCGACTCCGATCTACGGTCTGAACGAGAGCATCGCCCCTTGCGACGGCCTCCCAAGCGCTGCTTCCTCCGCGGTGGACTCTGCGAGGAAGAGGCAGATGTCCCCATGATGTGATGTGGAAGCGAGATCTGCTCACCCGCGGGCACGGGAGGCAGGCGGTCGGTGGGGCGGACCACCGAGCGCGAGAAGGATGTCGAGCGCAAGCACTCTGGCACAGCCGCGGACTAGCGGCATCCGTGAGTGCCAATGCGGGCTCAGCCCGCAAATGCATAGGCCTTGAGCCAACATGGCTTGAGCCAAAATGGCTACGGAGGAGGAGGAGGAAGAGGAGGAGGAAGATGAGGAGGAGGAAAAGGATGAGCAGAGGTGACTTCATCTGGGTGGCTGGGGGGCCATCGTGGGCCGACCCCTCGGTCCTGGGAGCCCAACGGCCCAAAAGTATCCTGAGGCCGCTGCGTTCTGTTTCGGCTCCATGGGGGCGCCGTGACCTGTCCCCGTCGGAGGCCGCCACTGTGCGCGAAGGGAACCAGCTGCGGAAGGCGGCCGCTGTGTCGATGCCGCCGCAGCTCTTCGTGGCACCCCTTTTGCTTTTGAGTTTCCTGCGCCTGCCCTCGTCTCCCCCCTCAGCCTGGGTGTCTTTCAGAACCTTGCCCGCCCCGACGCGAGGTTCGAAACCTCGGCAAACGGGGCGAGGTCCATGCTTTGTACTGTTGAAAAGGAAGGCTGCAGTTGTGGGAGGGAAAAGGACCTCATCGTGTCTCTCCTGCCACCCGTCAGTTTCTTCATACCAGACGCCCTTAGCCCATCCATCTGCAGCCTCCCTGTGGAGGCCTGAGGGGAGCCTGAAAGGGTCTGCTCCTGGGCCACTTGAAGCCCCTCCTCTCTCCCCCCCCCTCGTTCCTTGCCCCAGTTTGCTTAGATAGGCAGCCATGTCACATGCCTTCAGACCCCGATTCCGATTCCGATTCCGAGGAGGAGGAGAGAGGAGGAGGAGGAGGAGGAGGAGGAGGAGGAGGAGGAGGAGGAGGAGGAGGAGGAGGAGGGGCGGGTTTTCTACAAGAACGCCACGGAGACGGAGACAGTGAGACGACCGGAGCCGGCAAAGAGCACCGCCGGCGCGCCAGGCTCCCTGCGGCACTGGCGCGCCACCCGCAAGGGTGCCCATGCGTGCACGGGGACGACTGGATCAGATTCTGGCATGGCCGCCGCCCTGCGAGAAGGGGGAGAGATGGAAATACAGAGTTGATAATCAATCAAGGTACCCTTAACCCTTTGGGAGGGTACCTAAGTTAGGAAGGCCAGAAAACATTAGGGATACGGGGTCCTTTTTGCAGATGTCTCAAGCCAAACCGCCCATACTGATTATCCCTAATGCGAAGACGGGGACCTCGGTGAGGCCACGTCTTCGTCGTGTTACTCAGGTTAGGGGCTCTTTCGCTCTCGATGACAGTAGGAACTCGACCACAAGAACCCTTCCACAAGAAACCCAACCCTGAGACCCCAGGGCGTCCACTGACTGTTGCTGTGGGAACGTCACGGTTCCCATAGCAAGACCATCGAAATGCAAGAAACACAGGGCACCCTGGAGGCAAGCAGGCTGTTTCTTGGCACGGGCTTCCACTGCACGTGGGTACTGCATGTCCGTGCCGTGTCGACCCTGGCGTTGGTTTCTGACACCGCGCTGGGTCGTTCAACCTTGAACGATCGGCCGCTGCCGCAACGTCCGATCGTTCAACATCGATCGATTCTGGGTCGCCGGCGGCGTTCAACCTTGAACGTCCGCGCTGGGGTCGCCGCTGGTCGACACGACGCAAACCTACCGTAGGGGGCCCAAATTCCCAACTTTGCGGGGTGTTCGAACGGGCCAAAGACTTGCGGCCCAACTCGGGGACACGTGGATGGACAGAACCCCCTTTAGCAAAACGTGGTTTAGTGAAAACGACCTCGGGCCCAAATCTGGCGGGCGAAAGCCTGGAAACTGACGGCCACGGCGCCCTCTCGAGAACCGAAAACGGACAATTCACTAATCGACGTGTCACTATTGGGGGTTCTGTCCAGCCCCGAACTTTGCGGGGTGTTCGACTGGGCCAAAGACCTGCGGCCCAACTCGGGGACACGTGGCAGAGAGGGCGCTCATCCTCGAGAGGGGCGCGTCCGGACAGCCTTTCGTGGGGGGGATCCCCGAGTTCCCCTCCGTTTCGGAGCGGCCTGGTAGTTTTGTCTGGGCAAGCAGTGACATGGAGGGCGCGAAACTGCTTGCGAGAGGAGGAGGGAGCGTCGAGGCTGAGGACGAGCGTGGGACTGGTGGGGAGAGGCTCCAGGCATAGGCCGCACGTCTGAGCAGCTGCCAGCCCGAAAAACCCAGGGTAAACATATCGCACTTGTCCCCGACTTGGACAAACTGCGGAGTCGCGCTGCCCAGCTCGGAGGAAAAAGCAGGACCATGACCAAAACTGAACGCAGAAACGTCGATGCCGATCTTAATATTTGTCCATCTTGGTCATCGTCCGTTCGTGGATCATCGTCGCGACGGCCTGCATGGACCACAGCCAAGATCGGCGACGACTAAATCCCACGACGTCTTGGTCATGGTCATCGCGTTTCTTCCCACGTCAGTCTGCCAGAACATGCCGCGTCTTGACATCGGCAGTCGCGGGGCAACGACCGCGAAGTGCGACTCGATTCGTCTGGGTTTAGCTTCGAGGCTTGGCCGACCGAGCAAGCCTAACGTACAGGCGTCTTTCGTCGAATTGAGCCCTCCTCCTTGAATGCCGCGCTTACAAATTAAACTTGTGCAACGGAAAAGGGTGTGCCGGAAACGCCCACGTACTGCAATGACTTCGTCCAGACACGTGCCTCGAGCCATGGCAAGCTCGGTATTAAGGAATGTCCGCGTCCTTTGACGAGAGTGAAGTGATGATGATGACGGTGCCGATGATGATGATGATGACGATGCTGATAATTATGATGGTATGGTGATGGTGATGTTGCTGGTGATGATGATGTTGTTGGTGATGGTGTTGTTGATGGCGATGACGATGACGATGGCAATGATGATGCTGATGCTCATGATGATGTTTATGTTGTTGCTGATGATGCTGGTGATGCTGATGATTATGATGGTAGTGACGATGGTGGTGGTGGTGGTGATGATGCTGATGATGAGGTTGATGATGATGCTGATTTTCTTCGACTTTAAGATCAAGCTGCTTCAAATATTCGAATGAACGAACAAATAATGATGCTGCTCCGCTGATGCCTTTTCTCCGTCGCTCGCCAGTGTCGTGTGTGAGCAAGCCTCCGGCCTGCAATTCAGAGCTCAGCATGCCCCTCAAGATAGGTGCCAAGATAATCGTACCGACTAGGTCACAGAAGGACCCTCCGGAGTCGCCAAAAATCTCACCCCATCCGGGCTTCCTGAGCTCCCTTCACGCACCCCCAACTGGCTGGACGCGCCGGCCTGCCGCCTCAAGCAGCTGAAGCTGTTGATCCGTAAGTTCGAACTCAGCCAAATTTGCCAAGCCCTCTTGGATGTACAGTTTCGCGGTCTGGCTGCTCTGCCACCTCCCTCGCATCAAAGTCTTCTCCATGCGGCCATGGCTGCGGAAATCAAACGTGGCTCCTCCGCGACGTAGACTGTACGGCGAGAAGACACCAGCATCCAATTTCAGAACTTCAAGGGCCCTCGAAAACTGCCGCAGGAAGGTGCACGCGCGGACTGCCTGCAGCAGCCGCTCTCCGGGAAGAAGGTCCCCGCACAGCTCCTGCAGCAGCGCCGTAACGCGGGGGCAGTCGACGGAAACAGACTCAGTGACCCCATGCCTCTGCCCCGTTTTGGTCGCCTTCAAAACGAGCAGTGCGGACCTCCCCCCTGCCGAGAACTGGACCTGCTGACGCCGAAGCTCTACGCCTTCACCGGTACGTAGACAGCAGTGAAACATCACCACGCATAGCAAGCCGCACCGTCGGTAACCCAGTTTATCCAGAACTCCAGCCACTCCAAGCATCACTGACGGTGTAAACGGCCATGCCCGGCAAGGCAGTTCTTTCCGCTCCCAAGTGCGCAACAAACGTTTCGCCCCGTGGAGCGGGGGGCTGCTGGTGATGTAGAAGTGCCGCAGTGCCGCATAGGTGTAAGATGCGTCAGCTTTGGGCGCACCTTCCTCCCACAACTCCCCGATGTACTTGCACAGGGACTCGTCCAGGCGCACGCTGGTATGGATGTCAAGGTTGTTTGAATTCGCGAATTCCTGAAACAAATTAAACATGTTCTCGTAACGCTTGAGGGTCCCCTTCGTGACAACCGCGTCGGCGAGGGCTCCCACTTCCTTGCGCGCTTTCTTGCGATCCTCGACGCTGCGCCTATTAGTCCTCTTGTTCACCATCCTCGTCAAACAGCCGCGACGCCCGGTCAGCTGGATTCACCTCCGTCGCGACGTAGCCGTATACTGGATAGACGTCGAGGGCAAGTAAAAGCGCGGTCAGCTTCACGAGAACACGGTTCAAGATACATGCAGAAGATCGCCCTTTGGTAGCAACTGCCAGGGCCACTTGTGAATCCATCAAATGGACAAAGCGGGACGACCGGAACGAAGTGGACCTGCTGCGCCACCTCACGGTGAGCAGCGCCGCCCGGAGCTCCAAAACATTAATGTGCTCGCGGTCGCGCCAGCGCCGGGAAATAACCGAGCGCCATGTCCACCTCGACGGGTCGATGCTCATGCGCGGCCAGGCGCACGGGCGATAGAGCACCCCCAAGTCGAGCCTCACATCCGATCCGCGGTGGTCCACACGGCGCAAAATGCTCTCCACGATGTACTCGTCCACGCTTCCCCGGATAGACCAGCTCGCGGGCACTTTGACCACGTCGTCGAGCTGCGGGTCCACCTCCCAAGATGAATACTCTCCGGCAACACCATCCCTGCCTTGACACGTCCCAGGGGCAGTGGTCCTCGCAATATTGACGTGCTCCAGAAGAGCGTTTCCGGAGCACGTTGGCTTGGCTCGTCCTGGCGGGTCCTCCGGGCAGCGTCGGTGGTCAGCCCCAGGGTCCGCAGCAGTGTCCCCGGCAGCCTCGGAGCTCGCTGGGTTCCCTGCTTCGCGTGCGCCTGTGGCAGCATAGGCACGGCACCTTTCCACAGCCTCGCGCACCCCTCCACCGGCTCCACGCACTCCAGCGTGCATCAGGGCTTGATCAAGAAGGGCAGCCAGGACGTGCAGCTGCATGTTCTAGCACCGCCGCGGTGTAATCCCACGGGTAACCCATGAAGCCCTCGCACTCCTCGACCTTCACCGCCCCTGCGATGCCCTCTGGGTCCTCGAACATGAACCCCTCCTCGTAAAGAATGGGGGGCAAGGCGTGCTTGTCGGCGTGCCAGCGCTCCTTGGCCTTCGCGGAGCAAGAAGCCAGTCCCTGAGTTAACCGCGGCGGAGTTGCACGGCGGAAGCTCCCGCAGACAACGGGCAGCCGAAGCTCGGGGTCAAAACGGCCTGCCCTCCATAACCGTCCCGTGCGCTCCACCTCGCTAGCTGGCACCAGGATCTCCTCGAAGGTGCCCTCGTCGTACACCTCCCCGTAGTCGATCCGTCCTCCCTCAAAGGTGGATGGCATGCGCGGCAAGACCCAGTACAACCTGGCGCGCTCCACCCGCGAGATCTCGCCAGCCTGCCATTGCGCGGCCTTCACCCCCAGAAAGTTGTTGATCTCGGCAACGGCCATCTCTCCCGAGGGCAAGGACTCGAGCACCATAGCGAAACCCTTGCCCCTCTGAACGGCCATCGTCCGGAACACCTCCACAACCTCGAGGTGCGCCGCGAGCTGGTCGAACCCGCTCTTCTCGCAGGGGTCGCAATGGGGCAGCTGCCCCACCACGAAGATTTGCGACCAGCAAGGCAGCGCCTCCACGAGCTTGATCGCCTGCCGCGCAGCAGCGGCCGTTGGAACTCCCGCCTCCACCACCTGAGGATGATGCCGGCGGACGCACCTCATCGACGGCCGGTCCCCCGTCGAAAGACAGATATACAGGACCTCGTTCAAGCTCAGCGCCTGCATGGCGACCCTCGCGGCGCCCAGCCGGTCGCCGACGCCTACACCCTGCGAAATGCTTTAGAAATCATGGGTTAAGAAATTCATAGTCTCAGAACTTGGATAAAAACCCAACATTTCCATTCAAATCTTAGGATTTACATTGAAACATTAAGAATAATCGAGACTCTGCCCGAAAACTTAAGTTTTCTTAAGCATCGCCTAAGGTGTACTAGCACAACGGCGTTGCCATGACCCCCTATTGCTGCGACAGCGCCCGCGCCCGGGGTCGCGCGGGCCGCCCGGAGGCCGCTCGAAGCAAGACCGCGCGAAGCAACCACGCCAGCCCCGTAAGGGCTGGCATCCGAGGCCGTGACCGTCGGCTCGAGCTTCGCGCGGAGGTTGGTGTACTGGAACGGCGCTAGCGAAAGGGAGCCGACCATCTCGTCGCAGAGATTGGCCGGGAGGGGGCGCGCGCCTCGCGGCGCGCTTGCCCACAGGGCCCGGTACTGCGAGAAAAGGCATCTTCTCATTTCCAGTGTGTGCACTTCCTTAGCTGCGTAGATCTGCAACCAGTGTCGGCGCACGCCCTCACTAGAGCACAGGTAGCACGCCAGGCTGAGGTTTCCGAGGATTCTCTCTGTCCTCACACCTATCCGCCCCTTGTCGCCGTCGAGATGCCGCCCCAAGCGATCCGCCTGAGGCGCCCTCTCAACGGCCTTCTCCACCGCGAATGGCCATGATGCTTCTCGGTATGCCCGCCGTGCCAAATTCTGCAATGTCCCATTCTGCCCAATGACGTCCTTCGCCTTGCCGCCGTCCACGGCCTCCAGCTCGGTGGAGTCGTCGACGTACACGTGCCAGGCCGACCGCGCATCCTCGGCGAGACTGGTGGGTTGCGGCCGGTCTTTCCGCACCTCCAGCTCTCCTGGCAGCCCGGCGCGTTCCAGGAGGAGCGCGGGGTGCGCATGCTGCATCACTCCCACCGCGCTGAGCCACCCCATGGGCAGCACTGCCACGGACGCCCAAGCCGGCTCCATTCCAGTGCCCCCCAACGCCCACTTCGGGGCCGGCTTGCTCAGAGCAAAATAAGGTAGCCACGCCTCCGGCAGCGCGAACAAGTAGAAGCTGCACACCAGGTCGTCACCGGAGATGAGGAGGATCTCGCCGTCGCCAAGAACAAAGGTCATCCAGTGCGTGGCGCCCGCCATGGTCTCGACGTCGCCACCTATCGCGCGCTGGCACATGTTCATGGGTGTCAAACTGATGATCAACCTCAAGACTTCGAGGCCGGTCGGCGTCTGCTTCCCGGCCTCCACTATGCCGAAGGCGCCCGCGGTGACGGGCTCGCCGCGGACATGGAAGATGTCCTGCTCGCGCACCTCTTTGACCAAGTTCCGCTTGAAGAGCTCATGCACGATCACCGCCCACTCGTCGTCGTCCGCCTGGACCCGGGCCCGCGGGAGTTCCGGTATCTCGCTTTCTGGCAGCATCGACAATGTAGGGTCGCGCACCTTCGCTAGGGTCTCGCCGCGGCACCAAGCAGCGATCGGGATAGAGCCACCTTGGCCCGGCGGTGGGAGCCCCGGGAGCATCTGCTCCAAAGTCAGCTTCTTCGCAAACTCCAGAATTTCGCCTTGGTAAGACACCCTCTTCGCGGCGATCTTCCCCTTCCAGTCCCATGCCGGACTGCGGGGTACCTCGCCAGACGCTGTCTTGTTCATGACGAAGTACCGGCAAGTGTCGCACACATGCTGCAACGTGAGCCTGTGGCTCTCCAGCTCCGGTTCCAATGGCCACGTTTCAACGGCCGCGCCCCAAGCAAGGTTGAGTTGTACGACCGCCAGGGCCGTCCAGCATCGCACCCCTCGCTCTATGGTATCGTGGCCCCGAGCTCTCCCTCCAGCAGCAGGGACTTCTGACTTCGCCCAGGAAGCCACGTCGCCATCGGCAGCGTCGATCGCCTCAACCTCGGACAAGCGATCGCGAGGAATCGGAAGAGGCAGGACGTCCCTTCTCCTCGAAGAGCTCCCACCAGGGATTGGCGAGCGACGAATATAACCTCGCAGTGCTTGTCCCGCAGGCCCCGCCGCTTCGAAAGCGATCTTGACTAGGATGGGCCCCCACTGAGCAGCAGAGAATGCCGCGCAGCCGGCCTGGGCCGCAAGTGCGACGGCGCCCATCGGCCATCGCCGCGGCCCTTCCCCGCCCGGCTTCCCTTCCTGCCTGCTCCTTTCCCGCCGGAGCCCGGCGCGGGCTTCCAAGGAAGTGCCCCCCTTGCTGCTGCCATCTTCTTCTCCTTCTGATTCTGCCGACGCCTGGATCTGGCGAGCTGCTTCGGAGTCCGCCCCAACAGCGTGCCCTTGCCCTTGTCGTTGTCGCCCTGTGCGGAGCGACCGGTAGGCGGCGCCAGGGGCAAGCTGGTGCCCGCTGCTGCTGGTCCTGCTTCCCCCGGCGGCCGTTGGGCGCCCCCGACGTCGCCCTTCCAGCTGTCGTCGGCGGGCTCCGCGAAGTGGACACGTCGAGGGGGCCACTTGAGGATGCCCTTGGGGGCCCCCGGCGGCGGCGTAGGGCTTCGAGTGCGATGGGCAGGATGTCCTGCCGGCCTCAGGACTGGGGCGTCGCTTGAATCCCCCCAGACCCGGCCTGCTCCCTAGCCGAGCCCGCTTCCACGGCCCCGGGCCTTCCGCGCACCATCGCGGAGCTGCTGGGACCGGAGCTCGGCTTTCGCCGCCATATCCATCATAGCTGCTGGCACTGAGACCGCATCGTGGTTGGCAGCCACCTCCAGGTGTCGCGCCTGGTCCCAACCGCCCTGCGAATGCGCCACCTCGATCGCCTGGAACCTGCCCATGGCAATGTCGCCCACTCTCGTGAGATCTCCCATGATGAGCGCGTCCATCACCTCGGCCAGGGTGCGGAGCTCCCGGGCGTTCCGCTCGCTCACGTCCTTCTTCATTACGTTCTGGCTCAAATATGCTAAAACTCGCACCTCGTACCACTCTTCCCGGGCCCCCGCGCGCCCCGCCAGGTACTTCGACATCTCCTCGAGGCCCTGCCGCATGATCCGGCCTGCGTGCTTCTCTGCGATGTCCCTGGCGGTCGGTGCACGGTCGCGGAGGCCCTTGAGAAAACTCGACCTCGAACGAGAACTGCTCGAACGGTTCCTGCCCCGGCTCCTGCTGCGGCGGCTCTGGCGGCGCCGCGACCGCGAACGACGCCGGTCACCCCGTTCACGAGGCGCGCGAGCAACCCCATCCTGGTCCGAGCCCGCCTCCCCGCCTTGGGAAGGGGGATGGTGCGCCGAGGCCTGCAAGTGCAGACGGTCGCTCACCGACTCCCGGCGCTGCTTCACGGGCTTGCGGTGCTCGTCGCCGTCGCCCTCACGATCGCGTTTGCGTCCTTGCTCTGCGCCGTGCACGGCTTGCACGCGATCCTCCAGGGCCTGGTCGTTGTCGACCCTCTTGCGCCTGGCCTCGAGCATTCTCGCCGCATCCCCCTGAGAAAGGCGACGGGGCACCTGCCGGCTCGCGCCGTCCAGCAGTTCCGCCCCAGCCTTGTTCTCCTCCAGCCTGGCCCTCAACCTTGCCCTCTCGATCTCCTCGGCCAGGCCGGCGATGGGGGAGCAGGCCTAGGGGGCGGCTCCTTCCTCACCTCCTCCTCCTGCGGGTCCTGCGCGAAGCTCCCAGGTTTGCCATGTTTCTTAATGAGCTCCCTCACGCGCCGCTTCCACATGGCGAAGAGGGGGCGCACGGCCCAGTCCCGTTTCACCGCCTCCTCGATGCTCAACATGCTGTACCTCTTCAGGTGCACGACCGCCCTGCCCTTCATGTTCTTGACGGCGCCGGCCTTGCCACAGATGCTGATGTGGTAGGCTGCCCGGCTGCCCGGTACCAAGTGCCTCTTCGCCCAGTGCTCATAGTAGCCGTCCGTGGCCGCTATGAACTCGCATTCGATGGGGCCGTCCTTGGGATCTCCGATCGCCGAATCCTCCGTGAAGCTCACCCGCAACATGGCGTAGCCCTGCTTCACCCCGGCGTCGTCGTAGCACTCAGCTAATAGAAGGCGGCCCTCCTGGCACGTGTCGTCCACGCACTGCTGCCTGGCCTTCTGGTCTCCTACGCCCAGCCCCTTCGGCAGCGCGTCCGACCAAATGGCAGTGCTCTCCGGGGGGGGTAAATGCGAGCGCGCCCAATCGAGCCACCCCTCCCCAACCTTGAGGACGCGGGCCTCCTCGATCAGGTCCAAGAGCTCGTTGTTCCAGTCATCCTTCTCATCCTGAGTCGCCCTAGCCGCCATCCTGACCACCCCGCCACCACGTTCCGAGGGCCGGAGTCACCGTAGACTCTTATAGGGCCCTCACCGTGGAGCGGGTCCCAAGCAGATTGCGGCCTGCACAGGGAACAAGGGGGATCCACCCCGCGAGAAAAAGTGCAGCAGGGGTCCCACTGGGGCTGGGACCTCTGCTAACGCCGATTGAGCCGAAGCGGCTATGGAAGCAGCGGCGAGCTACCTCATGCTAGCCCTCTTCGCAGCATAACACTGAACGTAAACCATATCCGTCGCGGAGAGCACGCTGCTTTCGCACTGCCCCGCAGGGTCAAGTCTCCCGCGGGTGCTGCTGAGGGAGGCGTCCTACGCAGCGCTAGCCAGCCGACAAAAAGGACTCGGATCAACTGAGCACAGACACGGTGCGGCCCTGAAAAAGGTGGCAGTAACTGCACAGCCTCCTCGGGGAGCACAGACTGGGGAACATACGCCGAAACCATATATTGAAGCACAGACTGAAATGTACTCTGAAACACAACCGAATAACAGCAGCGTGATCCTTGCGAAGACTGAGCGAAACTCGCTAGTGCATTCTGAAGCACAGTCTGAAGAGGCACCTCAGCTCAGCTGAAACCGAGAATTCTTCGCAGTGGCCTGGGCGTCGCAGCTCGATGAAAGTCAGTGCAACCCGCTAGATGACAAGCATGTTGTCCAAGGCGTTCGAGTGCGGATGATCTGCCGTGGCGGTCCAGGCGTGTTCGATGACGTGCGCCACGCTGTCCGCAAGCGTAGTCGTCTGGACTAAGTTCTCGTGGTTGCGGACGCCTGCCCAGAGGCCGCGCGCGATGCTGATTGGGACAGCGCTTCGCATCACCGCGTCGGAGAAGGAGGGCTTGCTCTCGCGGAGGGCGGTGTGGAACGCCCCGAAAGCCGGTCTGCAGAGCTCCGCGCATGACGCGTAGGCATGAAGAACTGGTCAAGCTCCGTGAATCGTTTGTTGTTGAACCGGACGTGCTTACAGGCGTCGAAATAGGGCCGCGGCCGCGATGCCTCGAGCGCTGCGGTGCGCGAGTGCCTCGACATCCTCACCTTGATCCTTCGTCGCCTGGTATCCGAAGTGGCGTGGCTGGCAATCTGCCGGGCGCGCTGCAACTGCACGGGCGGGGTGCTGATGTCGGCGGGCGCGCCCGCAGGGCCAGCGCGCGGCGGGCCCGCGAAGTCAAATCCTGGCGGCTGGCCCAAGGCGGCGCCCCAGCGCAGAAGTCGCAGTGCTCGACGGCGACGATGTCGTCGAGCGCGAGAGCGCCGCGCAGGCGGGGCGCCGCTGGCGCGATCGTACGTCGTCGTCTCCATTGCCGTAAGTGTCCGCGTCTCCTCAAGTGCGCGACCGGTGCGCGGCGCCCGCGCGCTGGCGCACGGCCGCGGCGAGATGGCGGGGCGCGGGGCGTCTCCGGGCCCTCCGCCTCTGGGGCTTGGGGGGGGGGGGGGGCGGCCCCCGCTGTAGAGAGATCGCTGCTCGCCGTGGCGACCTTTGATGATGATGATGCTGATGATGATGATGCTGATGATGGTGATGATGACGATGGTGATGATGATGGCGATGGCGACGATGATGATGATGATGGCGATGGCGATGATGATGATGATGATGGCGATGATGATGATGAGTTTCCTCCCTGACCCTACGCCTCGGGGCCTCGGCGGGTCGGGCGCGGCAGGGCCCCTTGGGCCCACGGCCCTCAGGCCGCGTCTCCCTCCTCCTCGCACCTTCTCTCCTTCGTTTGTCCAAGCGGCCTGAAGCGCCCCCGAGCCTCCTCGGCGGGCGCGAGCTCTGCGGCGCGCGGGTCTCGCCGCCGCCGCGCCCCCCCCGGTGCGCCGGGGCCGGCCAGGGGCGGGGCGAGCGCACCCCTCGGCGGGGAGGCCGACAGGCGCGCCGACCGCGAAGCGGCAAGCGCGGGCCGAGCAGACTCGGCGGGAGGCCCCTCCCCCCCCCTCCCCACCGCTATATCACGGCGCGGGCGGGCGGGACCTCCAAAAATACTCGGGCCGCTCTGAGAGCGGCCTGAAGCCAAGGGCGACGGAAGAGGATGCGCACAAGGGAGAGGGAGGCTACGAACCGCGAGGAAACCCGCTGTTCTATCGAACGTTCACGTTTCCTCCCTGACTCTACGCCTCGGGACCTCGGCGGATCGGGCGCGGCAGGGCCCCTTGGGCCCACGGCCCCCAGGCCGCCTCCCCCTCCTCCTCGCACCTTCTCCTTCATTTCTTCCAAGCGGCCTGAAGCGCCCCCGGGCCTCCTCGGTGGGCGCGAGCTCTGCGGCGCGCGGGTCTTGCCGCCGCCGCGCCCCCTCGGCGCCCCCGACGCCTCGTTCGCCGCGAGCCGCGGGGCCCACCTCGAGGGCCCCCGCCCAGACTGGAGGGGGGTCCTGGCCCCCGCTGCCCAGCGCTCTCGGCTGCACTGCGCCTTCCTCACGTGCGGCCTGTCATCGCGCTCCTTGGCTGCCGCGCTGCCAGCCGTCGAAGCCCCCCTGCGCCTCGGCCTCGGACCTTTCGGCCTCGGCTGCCCTGCGCTTGAGCCTCAGGCCAACGCGGCCGCCTCGTGCGCTCCTCGTGCCATGGCCAGGTCCGCGGCCGCCATGCTGCTAGCTACGCCCTGCGCCACGTCCCTCGCCTCCCACAAGTAGCCTTGGAAGGCGTCGCTGTTCCACCGCCCCCAGCGCTGCGCCGGCGCCGTGTCCTTGAATGCCGCGTAAAGCGCTGGCGACCCCCCGATCCTCAGGCCGCGGGGGCCTAGGTCATTCGGGTCGACCCCCTCCGCCACGGCTGACTGCATCACCGCTCGTTGGACGTCGACCCTCGTGACGAGCCGCATGTAGTCGTAGGCGAAGAGCGGGTCATGCGACCGCGCTCCGGAGAACCTCTCGCGCACCCACCCCTCGTAGATCGTCGGCGCCTCCACCGCGCAGATGTGCTCATCGTCCGCCGTGCCTGGTGCTGCTTCGACCCTGAAGTGGTTGCGCCATTCTCCTCGATTGTACTGGTCCGTCTTGCTGGCCCGTATCTCGATGACGACTTCGTTTTCCTCAGGCCAACACCTCGTCGGTTCGCCTGCTGCCTTCGGCGCGACGTCCACGCACCTCAGGCCCTTGCCGCTGGTGCAACCGTGCTGGTCGCCCGACACGCACTCGCTGGCCCTCAGCAAGAAGAAGTAGCCCGTGGCGACCGCAGCCCATAGGGGCGCGCCCTCGGGTGACCTTTCTGGCTGCAACTTCCTCCGGATCCACCTCATCATCCAGGGCGACTGGCTTCTTCCGCTTAGCGTCGCCGTCGCGCCTCCTCAGCCCGTCGGCCGCCATCCAGAGCCCGCCCGCGCCCGCCGCGAGATCGCCCAGGTCGAGGGCAAGGTGCTGGGCCCAGGCGGCACTCAGGCACTGCTTGATGGCGCCCGCTTTCTCGCGTCCTCGTCTCGACGGGCGCGCGACGAACTCCAGCATCAGCTCCTCCTCGCCCCTTCGGCTCGCGGGCGTAACCTCCCGGAGTGGGCCGATGCACCTCGCCCGGCAGAACAGGGGCCACCGCCTCCAGCCGAAGCTATAGGACTTGGTGGTGGAGCTGGCCAGCTTGTCCAGGACGAGCTCCAACTTGGCCTTCTCCCAGTCCTCAAGCGTCTTGAGGCCCGTCAGCGCCGGGTCGCCCAGCCGGGCGTTCTCCCTGGCCGCTTCCCAGAGGATCTACACAGCGTAAAATAAGCATATGATAAGTTGGCCACATATAAGCATATGTATGATATACAAGCAAATAGCTTCGAATGGCTCTCTTGATGTTTATTCAGTTCGGCACATCAGATACACAATGGCATAGGATTGGTAGCATGTCGTGAGTTTCCGAAGTCCGCGCGGCATTGCACGGCGCAGCACAGCTAACTCACGCGAGCAACGAGGCACCAGCAAACGCCGAACGACCATGAATTCCTTCTTCTCATCCTTCTTTCATCCTTTTCCTCCCCCGCCTCCTCCCCCTCCACCTCTTCCCCCTCCTCGCTCTCGTGTGTTTCGCCCTTCTTCCTCCAGCGGTCGGGGGCGGCGTCGGGGGTTGAACGTCTTGGCCTCGCGGCCGCCACCGCTGAAAGGGGCAGGCGCAGCTCGCGCGGGGGGGGGGGGGGGGGGGGGGGGGGGGGGGGGGGAGGCATGGCAACATCGCAGCGCTAAACGAGCGCGGCCCGACGTGCCCTGGCCAGCGGTCAGCGCGGCCAACGGCCAAAACCACGGACGCGCGCGCAGAGAGGGGACATCGGGCGCAAATTGGGACCTGACCTTCACCTTTTTCCCCCGACTATCTCCCGATAGGCTGCGCCGCAGGGAGGGGATCCAGAAAAAGAAAGCAAGCTGAGGGCCGCCCTGTGCCCCGCGCCAAACTGGCGCATTTGGGCTCGAGATCGGCGCCCACGAAACAATGCGCTGAGCGTTGCCCCGCGCCCGCGCCCCCACTAGCACGGCAGCGGCATGCCCGCGGCGAAGAGCACTGCAACCGGGAGGTTGCATGCGGGAAGCCGCGGGCCTCGCCCCCGTGGCCCCTAGGGGCCACGGGGGTCATCCTACTCGGTGTCTCGAATGTCCCTCCGAACTGTGCGATTCGCGATCGGGGGCCAGATCGATTCTTCGGGACTATGAAGGCCGCTGCACGGCCCAAGACTCCTTTTCGGGGTCGCAGGCGTCGCGAGATAGCGCCGCGGACAAGCGACTTTGCCACGCCTGCTCGGCGAACATATTTTGTGCCACCTTGGCAACCAAACGCCGCGTCGAAAGCAAGCAATATCACCCTTCAATTAATTGAAAAAAACGCGCCTGACGTTGCGGCGCCTCTCGCGCGCGGCCTGGCTAGCAGAGCAAGGGCAACCGATGCCGGCGCCAAAACAAACGCACTTCGTCTGCATCTGCGCAGCTGTCGCGCGGCGCCGCGCGGCCGCGCGGCCGCGCGGCGGCGCTGGCGGGCCCCGCGCGGTTAATCAGAACCGAAAAACGAAATGACGC